AGTTATCATTTTCTGCATAAAATGGTCCAAAAAAAATTTTCGCCTCGCTTTGCTCGGCGTTCGTTAGGATTGCACTTTCTTAAAGTCCAGCTACGCCCCTGCTTGCTATCCGGTATGACCTGTACTTGCTAATTTATAAATCATTTTCCTCTTGTCTTTTGAGAAGGTCCCATTGCAAATCATACCAAATCTCCTTATTTATTATTAAGCAAATAGTATGTTAAGTTGATTCAAATCGTTTCAAGACTTGGTCGGATTTTGAGCTTGGAATAGTGTTTAGACACCTGCCTAATGTTGATAACCGTATAATGACCTCCAAATATCTTTAGTTTTTTGTCGTCCTAAGGAAAATAAAGGTAAAATGCAAGAAGAGGTGTCCATGCAAGAAATCTTGTAAATGTAGAAGAATTAAAAGATTAGTTTGCGGAGTGGATGGTAAAACCTATCGCAATTCGTGCAAAGCAAAATGCAAGTAAGATGTCAACTGGTATTCAGAAAAACAATTATACACTTAAATTATAGTGATGATTAAGATAAGTGAAACCATAATCATAACGTACACTTAATCAATGTTTTGATAATCATGTTACTATGGAAATATATTAGAGTCGGGGAACAGTCATATGTGATACTGAATAGTGGCCATTAATGGTATATGTAATGATTCAAATGACGTTGAATGACTTTTACAGTCACGTCGGCCTGATTGGGAACTGTAACTCCACAATGCATAGACTAATCAAAGCCAGAAAAGATTGTCATAACGGTTGGTTTGGTGTTTGATGCTTCTTAAAAAAATTGCTTTTAACCTACACTTAAATATGACAGTCTGTGATTTATTCCCAAAAATATCTTGTATGATTGACTGTTCATTGATAAATGTCCAATCATTTGCCTCTTGTCTTTTGAGAAGGTCCCATTGCAAATCATACCAAATCTCCTTATTTTATTATTAAGCAAATAGTATGTTAAGTTGATTCAAATCGTTTCAAGACTTGGTTGGATTTTGAGCTTGGAATAGTGTTTAGACACCTGCCTAATGTTGATAACCGTATAATGACCTCTAAATATCTTTAGTTTTTTGTCGTCCTAAGGAAAATAAAGGTAAAATGCAAGAAGAGGTGTCCATGCAAGAAATCTTGTAAATGTAGAAGAATTAAAAGATTAGTTTGCGGAGTAGATGGTAAAACCTATCGCAATTCGTGCAAAGCAAAATGCAAGTAAGATGTCAACTGGTATTCAGAAAAACAATTATATACTTAAATTATAGTGATGATTAAGATAGGTGAAACCATAACCATAACGTACACTTAATCAATGTTTTGATAATCATGTTACTATGGAAATATATTAGAGTCGGGGAACAGTCATATGTGATACTGAATAGTGGCCATTATTTGTAAGTGTAATGATTCAAATGACGTTGAATGACTTTTACAGTCACGTCGGCCTAATTGGGAACTGTAACTCCACAATGCATAGACTAATCAAAGCCAGAAAAGATTGTCATAACGGTTGGTTTGGTGTTTGATGCTTCGTAAAAAAATTGCTTTTAACCTACACTTAAATATGACAGTCTGTGATTTATTCCCAAAAGTATCTTGTATGATTGACTGTTCATTGATAAATGTCCAATTACAAATAATCATGGATCGTATCATACCTCCTCTTTTGTAATTTAATTACAAATATATTGTTTTATGTAAACAAAATGGTTCCGAGAAAGCTGATATGTAACATGTGTAAATAACAGAGGATATGGAGTTTACGTCCATAAGAAAGCAACCCAACAACATGATTAAAAAAATCGTAACACCAGAAAGTAATTTTAAAATGAATTTAACTGTTTGGAAAGTGACAATGAATTTACACTAAATGCCATCCTTAATATGCGGTTATTTTATAAAATCAGTGTCCTTTGAAAAGACGTATCAAAAAGACGATTGATTGTTAATTGCTTAATATCCAATGATGAATATTTTATGTATATCCAGGACAACTAAAAGAGACCACAAATTATCTTTAACGTAGAAAGAACACATTTAATATAACCAAACTATCGCAGGCGTATTCAAACAAACTTAAGGATATACACGTAAACATTTATTTGATTCAAACGTTTCTAGACTCGTGTGGATGTAGATCTTGACTAGTAGTATATACATATGTCTATTGTTGATTACGGTATATTAACCTCCAGGTGTATATTTGTTTCTCCTCATTATGCTGTATTGCTACTCCATTGGCTTATTTCCCCTTTTTTGCTTTCATACAAATATGTCATGCTATTTTATATCGAGGGTGACGCAAGCTGTTCAGTATTACACCTAAACAATCAAATAGAAACATCATGACCAACCTGCATTTATATTATTTTATTTTGCTCGGAGAGCATTATGGTTTAGTCAACATAACATTTAAAAAAGATGCTTTTGATGAAACAAGTAAACACACTTTTTGATTTTTCTCGTGAAATACAAGTAAATTGCAAAAGTCATTATCCATGTAAAAAAACCTTACATATGTACTAACGTTTTCAAATCAGTTGCAGTGTGGATGTTAATAATACCGTTAACAATAAATGCATAGCTGAATGCAAGTTAGTTGTCAACTGATATATAGGAAACTATTATAAGCTAAAACTAATGAGATGATTGTAATACGTGAAACTATAAAAACGTGCACTTAATTTACTTTTTGATAACCGCAGTCTTATGAACATACAACAGATAATGATACCAGTTATATTCAAGCCCTTTTCAGCTTATTTTTATAGTTTGCACTTATGCACCCCTGTTCCAGGTCAGGGGATGCTTCGGGACCCCAAACAATGTTTTACCGCGCAGAATTCTGTATTCCTGTCCCAAGTCTGTAATTAAGTGGTTGTCGTTTGTTGGTGTATAAAAAGTAAAATAACAAAAATACCGAACTACAAGGAAAATTCAAAACGGAAAGTCCCTTTTTAAATGGCAAAACAAAAGCTGCAACGATTGCAAATGTAAAACAACAGTCATATTTCTGACTTGGTACAGGTAATAAAATATCATATCTGTTTTCCTTTGTTGTTTTGTACCTGAATTAGGCCGTTTGTTTCCTCGTTTGAATTGTTTAATGCTTTGTTATGTCGGGGCCTTTTATCGCTTGCTATGCGGTATGGGCAATACTTGCTAACTTCTAATGTTATTTGATCTCAGGTGAACGTTATCTCATTGCTAATCATACCAAATCTCCTTATTTCATAATAAGCATATAATGTGTTAAGTTGATTCAAAACATTTCTAGACAAGGGATGATTTGGAGCTTGGCATAATGTTTAGACACCAGTCTAATGTTGATAACCGTATATTGACCTCCAAATGTCATTTGTGTTTTGTCGTCTTAAGGAACATAAAGATAAAATGCTACAAGAGGTGTCCATGCAAAAAATTTTGCAAATGTAGAAGAAAAAAACGTTTAGTTTGAGGTGTGGATGGGAAAACCTACGGCAACTCATGCAAAGCAAAATGCAAGTAAGATGTCAACTGATATTCAGAAAACTATTATGATCTTAATCATTGTTAAATGAGAGTGGTGATTAAAATAAGTAAAACCCTACAAATAACATTCACTTTATACAATTTTTGATATTACTATGGAAATATATAAGAGTCATATGTGATACTGAACAGTGACAATTATTCTTATTTTCAATGACTCCAATAGCGTAGAAGGACTTTGTTGATAAGTATTCCGTATCAACTTCACAAATAATACATGATGGTCTTGAAGTATAGATTCTAGGTACTGACGTTGTTGATCATCTTAATTACGTGTTATAGTGTTCTTTTATTTGTCTTTGTAAATTATAAACCTTTACTGTTTGGTCTTTTTTTTTGGTAATATCTTTTTGGCGTGTCTCGGTACTTATGCATCCCACCAATGTGTTATTGTGCTGTGGTCATTTTTTGTACTCTTCTTTTTCATTTTTGCTTATGTGCTTTGTCTTAATGCCATTTTGTTTTTCTTTGTTGACATATTTGGTTGTTTTTATAGTGGTTAAGATTATAACACAATGTTGACTGCTGTACCCCTATTTTTGACATGTTTGCCTATTATGTCTTTTTTTACACATTGTTGTCAATATAATGGAATTTTATGCGACTATCATACAAGTGAGAGGTTTAGCTAGCTATAAAACCAGGTTTAATTCACCATTTTTTACATAAGGAAATGCCTGCACCAATTCAGGAATATTGTGTCGTTGTTCTCCTCTTATAGTTGATACGTTATTCTCCTCTTATATTTGATGCGTTTCCCTCAGTTTTAGTTTGTAACCCGGATTTGTTTTTATCTCTATCGATTTATGAGTTTCGAACAGCGGTATACTACTGTTGCCTTTATATCTGACAGTTGTTATCCATTCGTTTGATGTGTTTGAGCTTTTGATTTGGCCATTTGGTAAGGGACTTTCCGATTTGAATTTCCTTTGGAGTTCGGTATTTTTATTATTTTACTTGTAGGATTGATTGTTCTTTGCTTAAAGTCAAGTTGCAAATATTTGATGTATATTCTGGACGAGAACAAATTAACAATACATCTCAGTTCTAATAATACGCTCTGCAAAGTACCAAATGAAATATGACCGTGATCAATAATTTAAAATGTAGACTCTCAGCATATTATTACAAGATTATGGTATAGGCTATGATGGATTTATAGCTTGGCATATTGTATAGACACATGTTTATTATTGATAACCGTATAAAGTTAATTAGATGATTTTGTTTTTCTCATTGTTGGGTTGTTGTTAAATTGACTTATTACCCTTTTCTCTTTACAATACATATTTGTGAAACTTTTTTATATCTTTAGGTAAATGCAATGTGTGCAGTATTTTACCCCTAAACAAACACTTAAAATTTTAGGATCATGGCCATGCAACATATAAACTACTGTATTTTTAGCAAAGGACAATGATGTAAATATGTCTACCAATATGCAATTGCTTTGTCTTTTCTCAGGAAAGTAAAAGTAAAATGCAACAGAAAATGCCCATGTGTAAAACCTTGCATTTGTACTAAAATTTTCAAACCAGTTTGCGGAGTGGATGGCAATACCTATAGCAATGAATGCACAGCAAAATGCAAGTAAGTTGTTAACTAATATACGGAATACGAATCTAAATTTACATCAAAAAGGGGATTATAAAAAATGAAACTGTAACAAGTGAACTTAGTTTAATTTTTGAAAACCGAAGTATTGTGGACATATATAAGAAACGGAAAAGAAATATATGATTATATATGTACTAAACAGCGGCCATTTTTTTGTACATGTAATAATTTCTAGTGCATTGCTTAGGAGGACTTATTAATACAGATAAACCGGTATGTTTAAGTATTTTAGCTTCACTATGCAAAGACTGATTGAAACTAGAAATGACTGTCATACTTGAATTCCCAATCTAAACAGTTGATGGAAGGTTTTCACTTTATGTTCTTGTTTATCTTTTCTTTCAGTACTTCATTTTTCTACAATCATATTAAAACATTTAAGGATGTTCGCTACCCTTGTTTTTGACTTTTTGTCAGATATTCGGAATCCTCTAGTTTTAGTGCCAATACAAATTTTGCCGGCTAACCCCTACTTTTCTTTTCAGAATTTTATTACAAATATTTTTAAAAGCCATTTTCAGAAATCTTAGAATATCCTTGTTATTTTTCATAGTTTTTGAAAGAAAAAGTTGTCAATGTTAAATGTATGAAAAATCTAGAGAAAATCATTTCCCGCCAAAATTTGAATTGATTATATTTCAAAAAGAAGGGCACGGACCTTTAATTTTTTTTATTGCTTTTTAAATTCCATTTTTTGTACATGTAATAATTTCTAGTGCATTGCTTAGGAGGACTTATTAATACAGATAAACCGGTATGTTTAAGTATTTTAGCTTCACTATGCAAAGACTGATTGAAACTAAAAATGACTGTCATACTGGTTTTAGTTTTGAGGTTTAATGCGCCGCAATAAACTAGTATAACCCTACACTTCAATATGACAGTCTGCGATATTCCAGAAAGTAGCTTGTATGATTGATTATTCATTGTTGTTTACCTATTGTCCAGCAGCATACATAGAACGAATACAAATAAACAATAAATCTAATAGGTACATATGTAGGTTCTGAAAAGTGAAATGACCAGGACTAAGGGTCGAAGATATGAACCGTCACTAGAAAATGAGGGTATGTTTGATAAGGACCGAACCGTAGCCTTGCAACAAAGCCACATACAAAAAAAAAATCAAAAAGTTGTTGAAACAGTTAATTTTATGTGCAAAGAGCATGGTACCCTCCCTTTAACAGACATCGGGTTTCACATTAACATTACCGTTTCGCCCTGACATGGATGCTTATTTATACATCCTGCACATCAAAACAGACGTCCCTCGCGAGTTTTACTGCCGGATAGGTGATGTTTAGAATCCTAAACCCTGGTCGATCCTTTGTTAACAATTGGTAACTATTTTCATGCCTTACTTACGATAATAGTGGAACAATATATTGTCTGGTCTATGCGCCATTCCGTCTCTTAAACCCTTCCCGTATCAGGTTGATTTTTTTTTGGTTTAGGAAATTCATCATGAGGTGTGGTCCAATTAACTTGAAACAGTACGCATGTCTATTCTGATGCGAACGTTCAAAATTACGATTTTTACCCTGATCACGGTTCAATAAATATGGACATAGAATAGTCAGAGCTGGGCATTGTCGCCAATGGACATTTGTTCTTGTTCGAAATTTTCTTTTAAAGTGAGTGCATTTTATAATGTCCTACGCATAGACAAAATCAAAAAGATGCAAAGGAACAAGAAAAAAAACCAGTCATAAGACAGAAAACACCAATGTCGAAGGAGAAACAAATCGAAAAGGCAATCACGCGTTTACAAAATACGACACATAACACTAATGAATGGGTAACACGAACTACGTATCAACTTTACCCAGGAGAAACACAGATGCTCCGAAAGGCTAGTTCTTGTTTCACTTGTCACAACTCTCGTGCTATTCATGTTATATAGTTCGTGATAAAGTTAAATACTTGTAGAATTAATAAATGAATCTTGTCCTTCTTTGAGATAATACATTGATAAGTTTTGAATAAGTTAAGACAGTTTGAATTAATTAGTTTATGATAACATTGGTTGCAAATTTGATTTGACCCTTACTACCTGAAATCATTTTAGTTTTACAGCATTATAAATTTTGCTTTTCTATGATATGCTTTAAAATAACGTTAAGCTGAATGGTATGCAATCTTTCATCAGAAGGAAGGATCATACATGTAGTTTTTGTTCAACCATTACACGTGTTGCACGAATTGTTCGAAATACTAAGGATTTTCTACCCCTACGAATAGATTACCTTAGCTTTATTTGTAAAAAAAAACCTTTCGGAATTTTGGGTCCTCAATGCTCTTTAACTTCGAACTTTAGAGTGCCTTTTAACTTTTCTGACTCGAGCGTCACTGATGAGTCTTTGGTAGACGAAACACACGTCTGGGTTTGGCGTACAAAACTATTTGCCTGTTATCTTTGATAATTTTTTTATCATTAAAACCGGATCAAGCGTCTATTTACACATAATTATCAAATAATTCTTGAAAATATCAAAAGATCGACCACACATGTACTTCCAATATTTAGAAAGTTTAAGTTATCTAAACTTCAAGTCATACATGATTTATAGTGTGAAAATCTCTTAGTGAAATTCAAAATTTGCCCTTTCCCAGCAAATTATTTTTTGTTTTTAAATCAGACTACAGAATTTTGTTTTCCTTTAAAAACTATATCCAACTTCCAAATAATTGAAAAAGTTCCCCATTACTGTCAAGTTCCATAACATAAAATGGGTACAGTTATATGTTGGTCAAACGAGGATTTCACGCCGTCGGTTCGATTTGACGTAACCGTTACACATAGTAAAAACATTTTCTGACTATATACTTTGAATTAAACCCTCCCTCATGTTCCTCAACAATCCATATCAAAATAAGGTAAACGACGCTTATACTTGAATTCCCAATCTAAACAGTTGCTTGAAGGTTTTCACTTTATGTTCTTGTTTATCTTTTCTTTCAGTACTTCATTTTTCTACAATCATATTAAAACATTTAAGGACGTTCGCTACCCTTGTTTTTGACTCTTTGTCAGATATTCGGAATCCTCTAGTTTTAGTGCCAATACATATTTTGCCCGCTAACCCCTACTTTTCTTTTCAGAATTTTATTACAAATATTTTTAAAAGCCATTTTCAGAAATCTTAGAATATCCTTATTATTTTTCATAGTTTTTGAAAGAAAAAAGTTGCCAATGTTAAATGTATGAAAAATCTAGAGAAAATCATTTCCCGCCAAAATTTGAATTGATTATATTTCAAAAAGAAGGGCACGGACCTTTAATTTTTTTCATTGCTTTTTAAATTCCTTTATTTATATTCTTTTAATGTATTACAGTCTTTGAAAAAGCTTGTTAAACAGAGGAGCGAACATCCTTAACATGTCTGTCCAATGATTATATTTTGTAGAAAAGTCAAAGTACGATGTCAGGGTTCTTGTCCTTGTAAGAAGCCATGTACATGTCCACGTACATTAGCCCCAGTATGTGGAACAAATGGAAAACAATACAGAAACAAATGTTTAGCAAAATGCGAGTAAGAAATATCCGATTGTATATGAGACAACTTTCCAACAGAGACCAAATGAAATAGAGGTTAACACCTATAGGTCATCGTATGGCCTTCAACAATGATCAAAATCCATACCACAAAGACAGCTATAAAAGCCCCCGAAATGATACAGGAAAAAAGGTTTGCCTCCTAATAAACTACAATGTATCCCTTCATTTGAAGTTGAAACCACAACTGGGTAATAGAAATAGAAGGATAAAAGACAAAAATAACCGGTTAATAAATGCTTAAAACAAATTTTCCATTTCTTAATAAAGTTGCCTTTAATTGAATTTTGTCATAATACTGGCATATTTTTTGAACGTTTTAATTTTTTTGACTATTTGTTTTGTCCATTTTTATAGTATATCCACTTATTACTTTTTTTTTAAGGTAGGTTTGGTCGTCAGCTGCGATACTGTGGATTCATTTACTTTCGTGGATTGAGGAAAATGTTTATTTTCGTGGATATTTTGATTTCATGATTATGCATAAATTTGTAATTTACCTACACCCACAAAATTACCGAAAACAGTAATCCCACGAATAATAATGAATCCACAGTAATACACATTGAATAGTCAGTTTTAGTTTCTGAAAAGGCACAGATCGTTATTAAACATTATATGCTACCATGTTTTTGACAAAACAACGTAAAAAATGTATTATATAAAATAGTCATCTGATCGCAGAAAATTTAAATAATCTGCAATTTACAAAAGTTCATTGATCTCATCAAATGTTTGATACTTATTATTCAAATTAGATTTTTTTTTATTTGACGTCTTTTATTCTCTTGTTTTTTTTTTCTTGATTTTTCTAAAGTATATTTTTTTTACAGAAACGTTAAAGTTGATTGCCACGGTAAATGTCCATGCTCTTGTATTAATAAATGTCCCCCTAAAGGAAAACCAAGTTGTGGTGGAGATGGCATTACATATATTACAGACTGCCATGCAAAGTGTGCGTAAGTATACAAGAGGCGGACGATACCAATAGGACATTCAAACCTCATAAGTGAAATAGAACATGAGAACACAATAGTAAAAACCGGAAGACGGAAAAAAAAAAAAAAACCAAGACAAGTACACAAAACACTTCATTTAAAACTTATGACAGAGGAACACAAATACAACAAAAAACTCGGGGTGACATAAATGTATCGTTTGGTGATTCTAGCTCTAAAATGTTCGTAAAGGTTTTGGTTATTCAAATGTGCCAGCTTTTAGAATCTTTTAAAAGATAATACGTAGTTGAAAGTCACATCTGATGCATCGGAAAAAGGTAACACATGATGTAAGATGACAAACGGTTTTACCGTGTGCAAATAATCACGCCTACTTGAAAAATCGTTCAGAATAGCAATGAGTGGCTTATTGAATTTTTATTTATCTACCAAAAGTGCATTAATATTTTTAATACAGAAATAATGAAGAGCGCACTGCTTTACTCCGTCGATAGGATTTTCCATATATGAAACGATTCTCCACTTCATGTTTGTTAGAGTGCAAATTTCCGAATTCCTTCTCGGCTAATTTCAATTAAAAAACTCTCTACAAATTTCGTTGATCAAAAGCACTTTTATAAATTTACCTTAATCAGGAACACTTAATCTTAAAGAAAAGCCGTATCATTTTTAATTATTACAAAACATTCTCCGAATATAAAACGATATTTTAGAAAATCAATATTTAACTAAGAGGTTTTGCTGCCTTTCAAACACTTCTCTTAATCAATTTTAAAATTGAGAACAAAATGACAAAGATAATGCTATTCTAAGAAGTTCTAAAAGTTGCTATATGTAATTTTAAGCTGTTTAACTGTTGTGCAATGAGCATAACATAATTATTATACCTAATTCATTACTCAAAATATTGTTCATCTATGCAGGGGTCAGAAGATACAATGTAGAAAGTCCTGTCCTTGTCCAAAGGTATGCAAATGTTCCAAAGAATACAGTCCTGTTTGTGGCGTAGACACCAAAACATATGTCAATTCATGCGTTGCAAAATGCAAGTTAGTATTTTACTATTTTCATAGCTGTTTAACGTTTTCAATGAGCTTACACACACCAACAGCATAATGTTCAATACAAGACTAATTAATTAGAAAAAAACCGCTTTATAAATTTCGTGCGTCCAAAATGCTTTGGTGTATTTCACGTCAGCAGGAACGCTTAAACCTAATCATTTGAAAGTCAGAGTTGTATAAATACTTTGAAACGTGAAGAGCTATATGATGAAAGGGGCATAAAAAGAAATAGCAAAATATATCTACAATAAACTTTGTCTTCTTAATCAGCAGAGGTTATTTCTAGAATAGTACGTTATAAATAATGTCCATACCCAATCACTGACTACTAAGCTGATGATACCCTCGAGGTCTAATACTACATCAGCAGTGGTATCGACCCAGTGCTACTACAGTAGAGTTTTTGTCATTGATAGATCTCCAATTTCAAACAAACCTTATCACTTTGAACTGATGGCCCAAAAAGAGCACAATAGAAAATTGAAAACTCTGACATCATACTTGAAATCTTCACCGAATTGACTTGAATCTTACCCTCTTCAACATACCGTTTAAAACCTTCGGAAGTAAGACAAAGAGTTGCAAACTCACTAAAACTTACCTCTCATTTATGTAAGTATATGACACAGTAGTGTGCCGATGGTTAAATATCAGAAATATAGTCAGAAAACAATCAACGTAGAAATAAAAAAAAGGGAATCACCGGAACTCCAAGGGGAACAAGAACTATTGCGTCGACAGGGTACACGTCTTCTTCTATGCAATTAAAAAAAAATCCAAATTACCTTTCAGTTACTCAAAACAATGATAATAACAAAAAAAAAAAAAAAGCTTTTGGTGTCAGTGGTACAATCTAATCCTGTTGAAGAAATTGAATACGAATATATATATGTGCTATGTGCAAACCTTGCAAACATTTTTAAAAAATTGAGGCGTCTAGTTATTGCGAATCCTAGACAAATGACAACGATTATCTGACATTAAATGTATTCAATGTCTTTGTAGTATAATATAAGAGCAAGAATTAAATCTACTTATCATTTTTGCGACATTCAAAATGTAGTTTTGGGTTTTTTTTGCGTTGACATCTGTCCTTATAGTTCATTATTACCCTGTTATATCGATTAAATCAAAGCGTTTTATCCAATATTGCAGGAAAATCAAAGTATTATGTAACAAACGATGTCCTTGTAATTGTGAAGATAGTTGTTCACCATCGTCTACCAGTCCAGTGTGTGGGAGGGATGCCAAAACATATCAATCAAAATGCCATGCGGCATGCAAGTAAGACCATAAACTGATAGCTCAGATTTTGTCAAATTTATTATCAACAACAACAATTTTTTTTTCTTGGCGTCTTTGTTACATTTATTTGAATGTTTGTATGAATTATAAAGTCAGTTGCGTTGTATGTCAGTGATGCAGTGTTTACACAGTACCGGCTGCTGGATCCCAATCATTGTCACAATACCTTTTATGTCTATTTGGGTTGCTCACCCAATTGGGTCAATATAACGGAACTATAAACAACTGTCATACAAGTGGAAGGTATAGCTATATATAAAACCAGGTTTAACCAACCATTTTCTTCGGAAAATCCCTGTACCAAGTCCGGAATACCACAGCTTTTTTCACTCGTTCCTTTGGTTGATTTTGTCAGTTTTTATTTACAACCCACTTTTATTAATTTACCGTGGAATTCGGTATTTCCGTTATACTTTAATTTTTAATTTTTTGATTATTGAAAATGTTTCAACAAATATGCATGTTTCCTCAATGTATCTGAAATAGAATGATTTCCATGACCTCAATAATAAAATGACTTACTGGGTTTACAGTATATTATATACACCATACGTAAAACAAAGTGAAAGAAACCAAATAGAAGGATGTTTTCATAATGTTTCAGACACATAGAGCTATATATTTATTACTTCACAAATATCCTTTTTTTGGAGGCTGAAAAACAGTTGATACACGTGTGCTAAATCATTTTCATTTGCAATTTACGAATAAATTAAAAACAGATTGTTCAGAAAACAATAGCGTGTCTTTCCACCTTAGATGTTAATAATCACGGTTAAAATACACTTCTAACTGATATGCAAAAACAATTTCCTTTAGTTTTCTAGTTAATCAAAAGTAACCTCTATGTTTGTATAAATCAAAATCTAGAACGTCAAATCAACCTTCGATCTTGACCTCACACTCAAGGTCAAAGATCAAAGATCCAAAGTCTTCATTAGGTATTATTAAAAAGTTATTCTACCTAACAACGTATTAAATATTTAAAGAGAGAAAACTCAAATAAAAAGTCATCGGAACACTTCGAACCAAATGTATAAGAATTTCATCAAGTCGTTATTTACAGTTTGACCGAAAACAAAATTTTGAAAACGACCTTGACCTTTGACCTTCACTTCAATTTATATATAAATATGTAAATAGCACATTGGTATGAGGATGATAGTGCAGATTGTTTGCACGACTTGAACATTGCCAATCAATTAGAAGTTGAGAGTAACGATTCAATCAGCTTTATCACGCTCTCATTAATACATTAGACTATTAATAACACTGATAGTCCCGGTTATTATACAAATAACACATAGCTGAGAGGATGATAGAGCAGATTGTTACCCCGAGAAAACATTTGTCAACTAAGGCGAAGCCAAGGTTGACAATATTTCTTTTCGAGGGGTAACAATCTGCTCTATCACCCTCTCAGATATGTGTTATTTAATTTATTATACTGAATATTCTTTTATTACTGTCAATTAAATTTCAAATTCAAAGTAATAAACTACGACGTCTTGTACATACCAATCATCAGTATTTATTAAAGTGCACACTTGAGCAACGTGAAGGGATATAGAGTATTTACCATGGGATAGAGTAAATTGTGTTTTTAACTATGCTAGGTGTTAATAGTAAAATGTTACCAAATAAAATACTGCGCTTAAGCATTCAAGGATAAAAAATCGAACTACCTTTTCCTTACTAGGAAAGTTGTGGTAAAATGTAACGGAAAATGTCCCTGTCCTTGCACAACAAACTGCAAGCCAAGCGGACCAAAAGTGTGCGGAGTTAATGACAAGGAGTATAGGAATGCATGTTTTGCCAAATGCTCGTAAGTAGATTATAAATAACAATACAGTTTTCAAGGTAATTCCCCATCAAAACAAAGGACAAAGATATAAGCAACCATAGAACATCGTATGGTTCTCAACAATGAATAAACTACTGTGTTGTGCTCATATAAAAGTATATGCGAATACGTGCTATGCAAAATGTTAGTACGTTTTCTGTTCAAACTATATTGATTACAAATTCTAAAGATCATGTATCAAAATGTTTTGGCTTTGCTTACAGATTACTTTGTTTCTCATGCATTATGTGAAAAGTTTTAGCTAGAATGATATATGAATAAAGACATTTATATGTTACAAATCAACATTCAAAAAAAAAAAAAAAGAAAAACAGATGTTGGCACAATTCAAACAATTTGTGTTGAAGCTATATTAACGTTAGTTCCATGATATACTTGCAAGTAACAATCGGAACTATACTTTTAATGAATTATTTATCTTGACAGTTGCTTGAGGGCCTTTAATGATAGAATCAATTTTTATCGCCTTACAACAAGACCAAGGTGATAAAATTACCAACACACATTTTGACGATTAAAAATAAAAGACGGAAATTTAATTACCATTTTGCTGTTCAAACAAAAAGGCGCAACTGTCAAATAAACTATGTCTTTAAATGCATTGCCGCCTTTTAATGAAAACAAATCTAATTAGGCTCACGATAGAATAACTTTTAGATCAAAGGTATACTATTGCTTCGTCTTCATGCGACATTTTGTTTTAATTAGACGTCGTCTGCTGAACCTACTTTAACATGGTTAATAACTCCGTATTTACAATGCATCAGAAGCATGTATTACTTACAAAAATATAAGTTTTATGTGTAATTTGGCGTGATTTTTAAAGAACATTTTTCTTTGAATTATGATACAACAATAAGGTTTTTAACATTATATATAAGCCTTCAATTTTCTGTTTTAGTCATGTTGAAATATCTTCGAAGGTTTGAAATGATTAAATGTTAGATTTTCATATCAGACGTGGATGTGGAGACTGTACAACAATTTAAATATTTGTACCTTTTTGAATAATTGTAGATTGCTAGGTCCCGAATCACCTTCCACTAAGTTCAATGTGAAATTTTCTGAAACTGATCAGTTATGAACAACTTCCCAAGATTTATATTTATCTGCATGCAAAGTATGACAGTTAATCAACATCTAGTTTTAAATCCATTTGTTGCTTAGCAGGCGACGTGTTTCAGTTGAATGATTGTTCCTAGAGATATATGAGCAGTTCTTATCACAATGACAAACATTTTCAGTAAAGTTGCTGTAAAATGTACAGGAAAGTGTCCATGTTCGTGTGAAAGCCAATGTCCTCAGACTATTCAACCAGTATGTGGTGCTGATGGGCAGGAGTATGCAACTGAATGTCATGCTGAATGCGCGTAAGTGTCATTTATACAATATAGTATACAGCCTAACACACAAGAGACATTAACATTAGTTTGTTCTGCTACTTTCCACTCTTCAGATATGCCAGTTACAAAACAATGATGTGACAGTTTTTATTAAAATTAATAAATAATGTATGTCCTTTTTTAAAATTCGTTTTAACTATATCAAACCTTTTATGCAATAGTTGTTGCGAATGAATAGTACTATCTATTTACAATTAAAAAAATTCTTCAGCTTTAATTAGGTCAAATTCAAAAATCAGACTTGCTTATCATTTTATGCAGTATATCAAACTTGTTAATAAAAAATCTTGACAATGATGATACAATTGGAAGGTCTTGATCTTGCTTGAAGGTTTGACTACTGCAGTTAACCATTTATCACCTTCCAGTTACAGTTCTGAGTGTGAATTTTCCGTTTCATGTCATTGTTATCAAAAGCAGATCTTGAATGAAAACGAATGATAGTTCAAAAATGGTAGTGGAAATATTAAAGCATGGAACTTAGCAAAGTAAATTTGTCATAACATATATTGAGGGAAAATGTATAGACCTCATCAACTTCAGATTTGTTCAGATTACAAGCTTATATTTTTTTAAAACTCAAAAATATATATATTGACTCTGTTTGCTCATTCACGATTAAAAATATATTACTGTTTAATTTAAAAGTTTTTCAATGTGCAGCATTCGGAATGCCTGTTAAATAAAATTTAAAAGTTCGTTTCTAAACTAGACAGTCAATACATTAAAATAAGATAAAAACAATTAAATTAAAACATTGAAATAACAAAAAGACATCAAAACCTGTAGGAAATAATAAGGAATATTATCACGATATTAAGATATGTTAGCTTCAAATCTTCGTAGTGTCCTTTTCAAATAGCTTAAACGTTATGATTAAAAGTGTTTATTAGCATATTTGTTGAGCCTACAGTTAATGCATACATATCTATATGGTTGATTGCCTCTGTAAATATATTTTGAAATATATTTCAGTGATGTTGATGTACAGTGTCAAGGGAAATGTCCATGTTCGTGTGAAAGTCAATGTCCACAGACGGTTAGTCCAGTTTGTGGTGCTAATGGACAGGAGTATTCATCGGAATGTCATGCCAAGTGCGCGTACGTTTCTTTTTCTTTTTACTAACGAAATTAAGAAGTATTTCTTTTATATGTTAATCAATTGAAGTGTGAAGAGAAAAATTATACGAAACTGTAAAACATTTACCTTAGGAACCATGGGAAAATCTCTTATTTATTTTACGGCCTAGTCGCTTTCGGCGATTTTCTTTGTTTTTTTTATTATTAAATAAAAAACGAATAAGGATTTTCAATGGTATGCTGTTTTGTTCGCAAGTCTGTTGGTTCTTATCAAATAAATGTAGATTCAATGCAATGACTAACTGTGATTGCTGTGAAAAGTATCTTTCGCTCTACACACATATATTAATGTTTTTTTTTAAATGAAAGTCAATCATTTCTTATTTTCTCAGAATCTACGGATTAGGTTTTTTGTCCGTAAAAATATGAGAAAGTAGATATTTTTATGGTCAGGTAAAGTTCAGATTTTTTTTTATTTTGGCATTTTGTTTATGCATGCATGTTTGAATATCTTATAACTATGAGAATATGAATAAAATGAGATGTGGAGAATATTTCAATGAGACAGTAACCCAACGACAACGATAAACTAAGGGAAATCTGGAGGGCAACACGAGGGCTTCAAAAATATACATATAAACAATATGTCAAATTATGTTATAGATAATGCATACTTTAAGATTTTTCTTGTCGCATAACACACCAAGTAGTGTCAGGATTGTCAAACGAAAGACCGGTCGTACGGGGGTGTTTTGCTGGCAATCCTGTCATCCCTAAGTGTTTTATACGAAAGTCACTTGGAACGTAATTTATTATTAATTAACTTTATAAAAGGGGTGCTACGTTTTTTCTCTGGTTTCATGACATTTTTATCGCGAAAAAGCAGATTAATATTTTCTAACAATATAAAACGAACTTATGTAGAATTATTGTGTTCTTATTTGCCTGGCAAAACAATCTTTCTTAAGACTTAAAAACAATTAGAATCAGTATATATTATCCCCCCTTCCCAAAAACCGAACATTAAATAACGTAGGTATATCCTATAGACATGAGAAAAAATGGGTAATTTGATAGTTATCGTATATACAAATGTAAAAATCAATGACTAGCACGAAGAGAGCACAAAATCGTAGTGTGCATGTAACATGAATTAAAATTGATATCCTTAATTCATTGCACGATTTCCAAAACGCTGCGATTCAACAATATTTTCTTACTTTTGTTTTTCAATAATCCTACATATGAATATTTGTTTTAAAAGTTCTGCATTTTTAATTTATCTCACATAATGTCTCTTTATCACAGCTATAAATTAACAAAACGACACATTATTTGTGTCGAAAGTTACATGTAAACTGCGTATTAAAGACGTTTATTGGTAGTAGTATGTTTATCAAATAAATTCAGATATGTTTATAACTATTATGCAGTTCAATCATACATTTGATTGTTGATAAAAAGAAGAACCGAACATTATAGTTTCAATGGGAAAGTTTTGATTTATCTTCAAGGCTCGACTGTTTTAACCATTTTTGACCTTTCAGTGAATGTTCTCGTTGTGAATGTTTCGTTTTATGATTTATATCTCTAATATAGTAAATTGTGTTGTGATGGACAGTCTTTTACATTAGATATGACATCTTTAATAACAACTTAATAACCGTGTTATATTTTCACGTTCACACAATGAAACGTTTGAGAACAAATCGTTTTGATTACTTTCAAATAAAGCTGATTAAGGAAAATTCAAATTACTTATTTTATTATTGTATTTTAGTGAATTATTAATTATCATACATAAACACATTTCTAGTAAAGTGGCTGTTAAGTGTACAGGAAGCTGTCCGTGTTCCTGTGAAAGCCAGTGTCCCAAAATTAACCGACCCGTTTGTGGAGTTGACGGAAAACAATATGTAAACAAATGCCTTGCGAAATGCAAGTGAGTATTAGTATTAATAAGACCTGATTGTTTCAATCACGCCTTGCGGGGATTTGTATTGTCATTTATACTCTTCGTAGTTCGAAGCAGCAATGATATACAATGTATAATTGTTCAAGTATGATATTGTGCATTCAAAAATTCAGATGTTTATAACTTTTATGCAGTTCGATAATAAATTTGACTGTTTATAAAAAAAAAAACCTAAACAGTAATTTTTCAAAGGAAAGGTCTTGATGTCGATTTAAAAAATAAAAACAGCCTTTATAAGTTTCATGCGTCCGAAGCGCTTATCTGAATTTACCTTCATCAGGAACTCTCAAAGCTGAAATATTCAAAAGCCAATGATGTATAAGAACCGAAACAGGTGAAGGGCTATATGACCAAAAAGAACCTAAGAAATAGCATAATCCATCGAAGGTCAACTTTGCCTGAGGGAGTCGAAACAACCGTCATTTCTTATAAGTTATAAATTTGTAAATAGACAATTTAAGAAAGGTTTGTATAAATAATATCAGGCCGTATTACTGACTACTGAGCTGATGATGGACCGATAGTCCACCATCAACGGTACATAACCAATGCTCGACTACTGTAATCATTGATGACCTTTCATTATCTGTGAGTTTTCCGTTTCATGGCATTGTTGTCGAAAGCAGATCTTGAATGAAAATGAATTATAGATAGAAAATGAGTTGAACTTTTTAAACAGTATTGAACTGATCAAATTACATTTAAAAAAAAAATACTGAGTGATTTTGAAACAAAATGATTCTGAAAAAACTGCAGCTTGTTTAGCTTAAAATCTATATGTTGATTGTATTCACGATTGAATAAATAGATTACTGTTTCAGTCAAAATGTGCAAACTTCAAAATGCCTATGTTTTAGTAGTTGATTTCTAAGCAAGAAGATTGATAAATAAACAAACAAAAAAAAAAAAACCCTTAAAATCACAAAATATATAAAAACTGTTAGCTTAAAAAAATTCCGTGTATCGTATTTTTATGATTTTAAAGTTATGATTAAAAATAATAGAATTTTATTCTTCTATTTCAGAAATATCAAAATACGATGTAATAAACGTTGTCCGTGTGCTTGTGAAGATAGTTGTCCAGCAGGACCTGCTACTAAATCTGTGTGTGGGAATGATGGAATAACGTATAAATCAAAATGCCATGCAGCATGCAAGTAAGATAATGAAAATTCAGATAATTAAATATTAAAATTATTGACCATTTTTTTTAAGTACAGTGGATTCATTTATTTTCATGAGTACCAATTTTCATGTATTGATGAAATATAGTTTGTTTCGCGGGATTAACTGTTTTGTGATTTATCATTAAATGCATATTCAAGAAAAAAATATCTGCAGTTTAATGAATACTAAGATTCAGGGTTCACCAATACGCACGCAAACAACGAAATTAGTTCCGTCGGGATGATTATTAATTCATAATAATTTTGCAATGTCTTCATCTTTATTTTTTTTAATGCTATAAAAACATTAAACTATACATGTAATTCAATGTTTAACATTCATTTGAGATCATCTATACCAAAGTTTATTGGTACTACCCTGAGGTACTAATGAGGGTTTTTATACACTTAGAGGTAGAAAAATATGTTTATACCTAGATCAACTTACCCTAACTAATATCCTTAACAAATGGGCGAAAAATGTACGAACGTGCTCAACTGACAGCGAAAAGATACTTGGCACACTGCATGTACTATCACTCTTATTTGAATTACCGGGATCTATTCTATAAGTATCATTTGATATTGGAGACTTCAAGAAAAGCAACACAGTTTATACTTTACTTAAAATCATCCCCATTAGATACGTTTAAACGCATTTATAAATGGCGATAAAACGCATTTTACAATTGTGTTTCTTCTTCTGTTAAACAAATTTGGAAGACGTGTCCACTTTACAAAAACGTTTTTGTTGCCGTCTTGGTCAAATTTGCTATCAACGACATAAACTTCTTTATTGGCGTCTTTGTCAAACTATCAATGATAACAACTTTTATGTTGTCGTCTTAGTTATATTTGCTTTTATGTTTGTTTGTTTGAATATTGAAGTCATTTGTGTTGTATGTTTGTGATAAATGTTCATACAGTTTTGGCTGCTGTATCCCAATTGTTGCGGGACGTATTATGTATACCGTTGTCCGTCCGTCCGTCCTTTTGGCTGTACGTCCGTCCGTCCGTCTGTCCGTCCGTCGTCAACATGTCGGACAATAACTAAAAAATGCTTTAACCAATTTACATGAAACTTTGGTGAAATGTGTATATCTATTGATGTGAGCTCCCTTTCGTTTTGTATAAATTTTAGATTTACGTTTCCGAGTTATGGGGTTTTATTCATTAAAAAAGGGGGATTTTCCAGTTTTCGGAAAAACACTTTCACCAATTTGCAAAAAACATTAGTGAATTGTTTATATCTATTGATGTGAGCTCCCTTTCGATTTTTATAAATTTTAGATTTTACGTTTATGAGTTATCAGGTTTTGTTCATAAAAAAAAATGGGGATTTTAGGAGTTTTCGGACAATATCTCAAAAATACTTTGAGTAGTTTTCATGAAACCTTGGTGACTGAATTATATCTATAAAGATAATCTTCCTTTAGTTTTTTCATAAATTTCTGATATGACATTGAGAAGTTATTGAACTTTATTCTTTGAAAAAGCGACGGGAGTATCATGCGCTCATGGCGCAGCTGTTAATTAATTCGTTTCATTGGTTGATAAAATTGAAAGTTTGATTGTTTTTATGGACTTCTTTTTTTTAAATTTACCTTGGAGTTCGGTATTTTTGTTAGTAATTTGTTGATAACAAATGCATTTTAAGTCCGATACCCACGTTAAGTACAAATAATGTTCAGTTTCATCCGTTCTCTGAACGTCGCAATAGGTAACAAAATAAGAACATGCAATCGTTCAAATCGTTGTACCCACAATCTTGTCCTCCTTTTCCCCGGATGTGACCTACTGAATTAGACTTATCACTGGGTTTGTACTTACATGAACAACACGACGGGTGCCACATGTGGAGCAGGGTCTGCTTACCCTTCCGGAGCATCTGAGATTAACTCCAGATTTTGGTGGGGTTCGTGTTTTTCAGTCTTTAGTTTTCTTTGCTGTGTTTATATTCTGTTGTTTGTATTCTGTTGTTTGTCTTTTTGGTCTTTTTCTTTTTTTTTTGCCATGGCGTTGTCAGTATATTTTAGACTTATGAGTTTGAATGTCCTTTTGGTATCTTTCGCTTCTCTCTTAATATTGTGGTGTTATATTCATTTACGAATTAAGTATCTAACGTCGCCTTATAATAAAAAAAATACCAATACTATGTAAGATAATATATGTAATGAATGTTTGTCAAACGAAAAATAAAAAAAAAAACTTGTATTTTATTTGTTATGAAGAAAAACAGCTGTTGAATGTAACCAAGCATGTCCTTGCCCATGTGTCTGTCCAGTCGACAACAAACCAGTATGTTCTACAGACTCAACTACATACAGCAATGCCTGTGAAGCTAACTGCAAGTAAGCTTTATAAGTAAACATCAATATCGAGTTCTGTAATTAAAAATCGACTGGCATCCATTTCACGCCAATTGACCGGGTGATATTTGCTGAACGATTATTTTTGTGTTTTGGCTTCAAATGTTACAATGTATTTGTTATGGCAGCGAAATTATAACGGAAAAAAGGTGATTTTATTCTAATGGTAGAAAACTTTGAGTAGCCAATCCGGCAAAAATTAAAACTTAGTGATCGATAGAACGATTTGATTACATAAAGACAACTATTTAGATGAATATAATTTTCAGGAAATACAAATCTGGCACTTTTCCTTAATGGAAATTTGTAGGAAAAGACAGAACAAATATTAATATGAAATAACGTTATAATGAATTCATAATAATACCTTTAATGCCGCAATGGAAACAGGACATCTTGTGTCCTTTTTTCACAAACTCGGCCCGCTTCGAACATACCTCGCACTACTGTAAGAAAGCTTGGTTCAATTTTGCCAAACTCAGACCTGTCAACTAATCAAACCTTTAAAAGAGTTTTCTTTCGCTGAAGCAAAAACTGCACACTTGTCCAACCAACGACTTTATGCAAAAATTAAAACAAAAGAGTTCATTCAAGTTTCCTTAATAGAATAGATACCGATGTTACAGACGATTTTTTCTATATTTCTGAAAAAAACATTGTTTCAACTATCAATATACATGTACTTAAGAAAACATATAAAATTATAATTACAGTAAAGCTACAATAGAATGTAAACAAGCCTGCCCATGTACTCCTTGTGGATGTCCTCAACCGAAAAGTAACGATTTGTTTTGTGGCAAAGATGAAATTACCTACCCTACCATATGTTTTGCCAAGTGCAGGTGTGTATTAAAAGAAGAAATCTAACATTTAGATTTCATCAACTATTTTGTTTTTAAATTTAACACCAAATATAGCTTAATTTTATATATAAAATTGGGTAAATTTTGGCACTGTTATGTATGTAAGTTTTAGAGATGTTTCCTTTTCTCTTTGGCAAAATAAACCTAAAACCTTTAAAGTTATCATGGTGATAGAGTGAGTATTTTGTTACAGCTTAGCATTTTTTTATTTTTCTTTAGATGGATATTATTTTGGTCATTGATATATCAGCTAAAAACATTACATAATCAGTTCGTCTGTTTCGAAAATTATTCTGTGATTTTATGAAATGTTATAAATGTAACTTCACAGTACCAAAATTGCACCAAGATCCAATTTGTATAAAAAGCGACGGATATCTTTACTTATGTTTTCTTAAGAGACAAAACAACTCGTAGTGTTTTAATTTATCATTATGTACATCTTTCAACATTGATAGATATTCTCAAAGATACACAAAATGGTCAATTCATATATCAACATAATTCATGCAGTCTACAGTGGAAACAGTAAAATTTACGGAAACGTTGCATGCGACGTCTACAAAAAATTGACCTTTAAAAATGAAAAATTAAAATATGTCACAAACATCCATTTTACGCAAAATGCATAACAAGCTTGGACTATTGTCAACAGTTAAAAAAAACGGGGAAAAATAAAACAAATTATCATTTATTCGATTTTGACATGTAAAACTTATCTTGTGTATGAGTTGATTTTGTATCTGGAAGAATATAATCCACACTTTTGTAATCCTAGGAAAAGTATGTTCAACTATTGCATTTCTGAAATAAAAAGATTGCTACTGCACTAAACATTTAGCATTTAGATGATTTCAAAGTATGATTAAATAGTATTGAAGGGTTTAAGATCTACTTAAACAGCAACAGTTATTATGTGAATGTATAGGGGTTAAAATATGTCCGTCCACACGTTGTTATAAATCTTTCAGTAGATATAAGAAGATGTGGTATGAGTGCCAATGAGACAACTCTCCATCCAAGTCACAATTTGTAAAAGTAGACCTATCATGATTTTATTTTAGAAAATTAAATAATTTTTAACTATAAATTCTGAAAACAATGAAAATTTAAACAAATTGCCCTATATATGAAAAACTTTGAATGAATTATCAAGATTTGCAGTTGTCAATTGATGAAACTTGTTTAACTGTTATTATTTATGTAATACCTGAAATGAAAGGATCTTGGAATTTTCAAGAAGTTTGTATTCCAACTGTAATAACATTATACGAAGATTCTTTGACATGTTTCCTGGAAGATACTTTTGAAACAGTCATATATTTCTTGAGACCGACAACTATTAGCAATGCATGAAGCATTACAAAGCATTGCAATTCTTGTTTCATGAATCATCCGTTTGTACAGTGTTCACAGTTTTATTAGGTCTTTCCACTTTTCTGCTAAGCCGAACAATTTCCTTACATGTAGTAAGAGTTATCCCCCAATTCACTGTTTATCAAGTGTATGCATCTCCTCCGTAACACAAAAAGATAACGACAAAATTCTTTTTCTAAATTGTTTGTTACATCCTCAGGAATTTTTAGCTAATTTGGATTGAAGCGACCAAGTGAGATCTTATAGGAGTTATCTGCCTTTACCAAATAAATTTGTCGTTTTGTTTTTGTAATTCATAAACCGTAAGCCGTATAAAAAAAATTTGACCAAAATGCTAGTCGCGACATGATATATAACTGGAAAGTGTCGAAGTGGCACGTGTTATTGTTGTACGGGTTCCATGCAACTGAAACGTAAAAATGAACAAAATTAAGTAATTATAGCCTCATACCTTTGCAGCTATCATGATGTATACATGCATCTTATCTTAATTAACCAACCAAGGTCCACCATCCTCCACACAGTCGTCCCCCCCCCCCCTACTTTTTTTTTTTTTTTTTTTTGAGGAATCCCATTTCGCCTTGAAGTTCAGTCCTGTACATTTTACTGTAAAAATGCAATCCTTCTTATGTACGAACTTTTTAAATAGAAATTCATCCCTGCAAAAATCTGCTCCAATTCATGTATTTTCTGAAATTAATCGATAAACGTTTGGTTAACAGCATTATTTTTGCCGTTAGGCGCGGTCCGCTTGATTTGGAAATAAAATTCAATGACGTAGAAATGGCTCCCAAGTTTGAAAATATATCTTAAATCCTACAATCAAATTTCTAAACATGGATTAAAATACAAATTTGTGCTCCAGTTAACATGTGTATGTAAAATGCATGCATGATCGGACATCAAGGACCTGTAAATAATAAAACCAATAGTCATCGTGTTACTCTAATCAATACACATGTGCTGTGTTCAACGGTCTCTCTTGAAAAGATATTGATATTAATAACTCCAGACATATATAATTCGAGGGTCACGTGACTTCACAACACAATCTCGCGCGCGGACCTAAATTTAGAATAAAACATTTCATATCCAAATAAGGAAAATGAAACTTCCAAGACAAAATTTACTCCGTTTTCCTACAAATTCAAACAAAATGCATACACAACACAAAAAAATATAGATGAAAAATGGAAGTCCGAGGTAACATAGAAACTAGAGAAAATTTATAAACGAATGATACTAGGATCAATTTTTATGAAGACATCTCAGGCGTCCGTTTGGCTGTGCGGGATGTATAAGTACGCAGTCACGTTCGGTCAGAATATAGGCGTTATTTAAGTTAGCTGCGTCGCACAGAGAAGCTAGATGCCATGCTATCAATCAATCAATCAATCAATCAATCAATCAATCTATCAATCAATCAATCGACCGACCAAACAACCAACCAACCAACTAATCAGTTATGCAGGTGTCTGGTCCATGTGTTTAATATTGGATGAGGGATTATCTTTTGTTTTTTAGCATGTCCCTACAGTCAAGGCCCAATGTGTTTTTTGGCAAATTAATTAACCAACCAATCAACCAATCAACCAATCAACTAACTAACCAACCAACCAACCAACCCATCCATTCAGTGGCGGATCCAGAAATTTTCATAAGAGGGGGCCCACTGACTGCCTGAGAGGGGGCCCCGCTCCAGTCATGCTTCAGTGATTCACTATATAATCAACCAAATTTTTCCCACAAAAGGGGGAGGGGCCCGGGCCCCCTGCCCCCCTCTAAATCCGCCCCTGCCATTGATCGATCAATCAATCATTTATGTTTTAGAGGAGAAAGACCGCCGCTAACAATTGTTTACAAAACAATTGATTTATATTTTTGTTTGTATACGTTGTGCACTACGTGATGCCTCGTTTGTTTATCTTAAATATGATTTTGGCTTCGTATTTTGGCTTCTCTGTTGAATTATTTTGTACTTCTTGACCAGTGAATGTTAAACCTCTCTGGATGGAAGTGTATGTTAAATCTCTTGATGGTTATTTTGATTGGTATGTGGTGTTGCCTTTTGGTCACTAACCATTGTGCTATTCAATATCATATATCATGTGTATATTTCAGTAAAACAGAGGTAGCGTGTAAAGGGAGCTGTCCTTGTTCGTGCGAAAGTAAATGTCCAAGCGGTGGTCGTCCTGTCTGTGGGCAGGATGGAAAAGTGTTTAAAACATATCCGAACAAATGCCACGCTGATTGTGCGTAAGTTTTGATTTAAACGGAATCGTTCAAAAAAGGATATTTCACGAATTTAACAGTTGACTTATGATCAACAAAATTATTTAGACAATATATTTGTTTTGACCATTTATTCTGTACTTTTTGCCTATTGTTCTCTATTCTGTAAACCCCATCCTGACCCTCATATATCACTGGTTGAAGACCTTTGACAACCAAAATATCAAAAAGGTTATTACAAATTCGACTAAGGCATCTTTACCTTGTGTAGAAATTAGCTTTCCTCTATATGTTTACTATATCTTGGATAGAAAGACTGCCATCCTCTATTTCTTGTATCTTTTTTAAAACTTTCCATAAGAAAGAGGCAAAAGATATCGAGGGTTCATTCAAAACTCATACGTTAAAGAAACACTGACAACGACATGGTAAAAACAAATATGAATTCAGGACTTTCAAAAGGGAAGGGAACCCACACTAGACGAAATTGGGAGCGAGACATGTAAGAAGTGCGTGTATTAGCCATATATGTAGCATCCCCTAAATACGCCTCTGAAAACAAAAAACGACGACTAGAGGAACAAGTCCACAACACATTTCATAGAAAACTTTGTAAATAAAACAAAACAAGTGCCTATTATAAAAACATAATCTTGAAAGTTGAAAGCCTATTTTTGTTTCATTTATGATACACGTGCCTGATGTTCATAATTATTGCATAGGAATACTTACGTTGATCTTCGTACCTACTGTTTGTCACTGTTTATTAAAAAAAAAAGATTATTACTAAAACTGGGGGAGATAGTTTTGATGCAATAAAAAGGCACACATAAGTCGAAGAAAGACGTGCAACGCCATGAGCATACACACACAGACAAAGACTACAAACAACACACAGAAACTTGAGATTCAGAAACAATATTGATTGATTGGTATTTAACACCACTTTCAGCACTATTGATTATTTCGGGTCGGTCTCTAATGGTAGAGGAAGCCGGAGTGCCAGAAGAGAAACACCGACAATCGGCAGGAAAACTGACAATCCTAGTCAATTAAAAGAGAGGCGAAAGACATTAAAAGGGACATTCAAACTCACAAGTCGAAAATAAACTTTTTTTACCAAGTACGATTTATCTCTTCCTAATACAAGATAGTTGTATCTACGTTGGCTATTCGTTTTTGATGAAACAAAGCATGACCAAATCTTTCAATTTGTCTTTTAGTTTGGAATGGGGAATACTTAAGTAGAGTGTAGAAAAGTCAAATATTTTTATACTTTTGCAAGATGAAAGATTGTTTGTACTCCAAAACAATTTTTAGTATCTACATCTGATTCACTCCACCTCTAGATTATGTAGTTTCACAATGGTTTTGAAGCCAAGCTTTGTTTGCTTATAAAATTGATGTTAATAATTTAAAAAGGGTTTCGTGGAGCACTTGAAGATCTAGCAATATAACATTGTTTGTTATGGGTATCCAATACAGTGAAGGAAGATCCAGTCCAATTAAGATTAGAGTCGAATGCACCAACCACGTGCGGGATTCGCACTCATAACCTCAGTGTTGACAGGCTAGATATATAGTAGTTGAACTAATTCGACCACTCGGCCACCGTGGTCCCTTGAGCAACAAGACCCTACATTTCCTCGACTAAAACCATTGGGATGAAGTGATGTGCTACCAACATTTACATACATTTTAATCTATGACTGTATTGTCAGTGCATGAAACAGAATTTCACCAACATTGCAATGCATTTAATTGTACATTGGATGTTTTTAAAATAAAATTGAGAATGGAAATGGGGAATGTGTCAAAGAGACAACAACCCGACCATAAAACAGACAACAGCAGAAGGTCACCAACAGGTCTTCAATGTTTAAAAGTTTGTATGCTCAAGTCCGAATTTTTATATCCTGTATTATTTGATGTTCTTATTTTTGTTTTGACTTATCTATGTCTTGTTTCATTTATTATAGTCGCGCAGATACTGCTAAGGTTTTACTTTCTTAAATTTCAATCTGTAGAAAAGTAGCAGTTAAGTGTTCCGGAAAGTGTCCATGTTCATGTGAAAGTCAGTGCCCAGCGAATGCACAGAAGGTCTGTGGTAAAGATGAAAAGACCTACGCATCTAAATGTCTTGCTGTCTGTGCGTGAGTACTGTTAAAAATATGGTTATCATGTTGAAGTATGCGGTATAATAGAATCCCTTTTGAAATGTTAAAATTTATAATTGTAACAATTAACCCCAATGTTTTCTCCATGAACACCACTCATTCATCTGGCATGGAGAGGATTTAACAGAAAAATCGATTCAATTGGCGGGAAAGAAATAAAACGAATATCAGTAATGTTTTGTTTAAAGCAAATTTCTGTATATAGACTGATTCATACAGGAAGTTTTTCATTATTGGAAGTCCAAATTCAAATGAGCCAAAACCCTCAATTGACAATCCTCGAGTGAATCCTCTACTAGTAAGCAATGAACGAGGTTGTTAAATGTGATATATGCTTTTTTGTGCTTCTTTGTTAAATATTTGTTTGTTTTTGTTGTGATTAAGATTGTGACACGGTGTTGACTGCTGTACCCCTATTTTGACATTTTTACCTATTATGTCTGTTTGTTTTATTCACGCATCGTTGTCAATATAATGGAATTTGATGCGACTGTCATAAGTGAGAGGTTTAGCGCTATTAAACCAGGTTCAATCCACCGTTTTTTACATAAAAAATGCCTGTACCAAGTCAGGAATATGACAGTTGTTGTCCATTCCTTTGATGTGTTGATGCTTTTTATTTTGCCATTTGATTAGGGACTTTCCGTTTTGAATTTTCCTCGGAGTTCAGTATTTATTTTTTCTACTCTTCTTGTTAGATAAAGGAACGGAACGGACTCGGCCGAGTTTAGACGGGTGCCAAAATCCTGTTAAAACCCGGTACAATTGCATCATGAACTTTATTGTTCACACCAATGAATTATGTTTTATGCATGTGTAATCAACTTAAATTGGTCAATTCTGCAGTTAGATTAGCTTCTTCAATACAGGATCTGGGACTTAGAGAGTATAAAGATAAATGAACAACAAAATCAGTTTATAGACATTTGAAAGTAATAACATTAACAGTACAAACTTTACTGCTACCGTGCTTACACAATAAATGTCACTTAAGTGATGCTCGAAGCAAAGCAGATTGAAAGTCTAAAACCTAATAGCAACGTTGAAGAGCTGATCAAACATAAAAGGACCAAAACAAGAAAGCTAAAACAATATAAGAAATCAGAGCCAACTCATTTAAAATGTTCATCATAGTAAATTTGAATAAAAGAATATCCGTATTTTCATGCCATTACCGAACTACTGGCGACTGGGCTGGGGATACATGTAAACATAATGCAAACGTTGTAGAGCTGATAAAACTAAAAAGGGCAAAAAAGAGCCTAACCTGGACAAAGCATAAAGGTTACTTATGACGTTATATATATAGACGGAGACAATGACATGATTCTGTTTCAAAATGAATTCATTGAATGGTTTAAAATGCATTGCGCATACCTTTCACTCTTATGATTTTTAAATTTGTCTAAACCTTTCTATTCTAAAGATTGTATTTAACTTGTAAAACAAATATAATTATATTTCGTGATCTTTTTTAAAGAGGAACAACTGTTGAATGTAACCATGCTTGTCCCTGTCCATGCAATTGTCCAGCAGAAAACAAACCAGTTTGTGCTACAGACGCAACTACATACAACAATGAATGTGAGGCTACATGCAAGTAAGCTAAACGCATAATATTATTAACGTTGTGCATACACATAATTTAGCTGTTGGTAACGGTATATCTTTTGCCTAAATCTGTGCAACTAGAGGAACGACGTATTTTCCCGGGTGAAACCCTAAATTCACTCCTGTTTTCAAAAGGATCCATATACACAAAAGAGGGACGAAAGATACCAGAGGGACAGTCAAACTCATAGATCGAAGACAAACTGACAACGCCATGGCCAAAAATAAAAAGACAAATAAGAGTACAGATGACACAACATAGAAAACTAAAGACTAAGCAACACGAACCCCACCAAAAACTGGGGGTGATCTCAGGTGCTCCGGAAGGGTAAGCACATCCTGCTCCACATGTGGCACCGGTCGTGTTGCTTATGTTATTACAAATCCGGTAAATAGTCTGATTCGGTAGGTCACATTCGTGAAAAGGGAAGGGTATTGTAGTTACGACATAAGGAACATATCCGATATTATCTGTGAAACGGTTATTCAACGGTCAACCAACTCGTGATGGCGTCCGTAAAATTTACGAAGGGATGATTTCAACTTCACCATTTGGAACTCTTGGTTTAATAGCTTCCTTATGAGCAGCAATCCTCTATCAAGGAAATCATGATAGGAAATACAAGCCCGGGAATATCGTATCAATTGGGAGAAATATACTCCGTATGCAGGCTCGTATAAGTATTTTCATTTGTTAATAAATTGTCTTTTTTTAATTTTTACTGGTAAGTTTTGAACTTTTATCTGTCGAAATGTTTTGTTTCTTATTGAAGACATTTCTTTCGAAGTTAGTGGTTTAGAATAACGTTTTGCTTGTGAATATCATAAATGTAAGTTGGGCCAATTAGAGCATTTACAAAATATTTAATAAAGAGTAAAAATCCAGGCCTAGTTTTGAATAATGCAATGTTTTAACTTATCGTCTTTTTGTCGATTACATTCACGAACAAAAATATTGATATCAAGGATACTTAAGATAGACAATGAGGGTCGATTAAAAACTAAACGAGAGATAGAAGATACCAATAGGAACATTCATCAAACTCGTAAGTTTACAAACTGCAAACACAATGGCAAAAACAATTACAAGTGTTTTGGGCAAATGTTGTTTGTGGTGCCCTTAGTATTATCTACTTCTTTTTTTCACATGAATCTACATTCCCTGTCCGATTTTATCGTTATGATATCATACAGGAATTTTATTGCTAGAACAAGGTGCAACTAATAGAGCAAGAAGCTTTTTAAAAAAGACTACGCATTTTGTAATCATGTTTCTTATGTTCGACTTCTTAAAGAGCTACCATTTGATTTTTATAGAGGGGGGTCTAGTATGAAAAATTTTGTCCTGCATTTTTGTTTTAGTTGTAATTTCTTACCTGCCTTTTTATTTTGCACTCAATTCGGTCCTGCCTTTTTTCATTAGTTTATCCTGATTTTTTTTTTACATAAATCGTCATCCTGCCTTTTTTTGCCAAGTTGCTCATTTTCAAATTTCATCCTAGCCCCTCCCCCTCCCAATAAAAATCAAATGGTAGCTCCCTTATAAATTGAACCTCTCCGTTTTTTTCCCATAAATAAAAACATACTAGTCTGGGGAAAAATACTTGTATAGCCTCCCTTTGTTTGTATTTGACATTTGTTCTACATCAAATTATTACGTATTGTTTGAGTGCATCATCCAATATTCATTTCATTATGACATTAATAATTATTTTAAATTTAAACTTTTGTGCTAACCGTATAATAAATCATCTCAAAATACGAGATGCAAGGACGTTAGAGCGAATATTTAAGTATAAGTACTGGTTCTTTGAAAAACAAATAAAAGAGCTTCAAGGCAACTTAAATCGTAACTAGATCATAAAGAAATCTGGTGACGAACTCTGATGCATCATATTGTCAAGCAGTTTAAGGTCATACGATACAGTTACAGGGGAGATAACGACGTCGCTAACGTCAAACTGTAACATATTGGGAAAAGATGCATTTTTTTCTACTGATTTTAATCATAAGCTTAAAAATGAGTGCATGGAACTCTCTTTTTTTAAAACGATACTTGCCCTGATTATGTATGAAGTTTATTTATACCATTTTTTATGATTTAAAAAAAATATATATAAATATACATGTACAGCAAAAATGCCGTTTTTTTTCTTAAATCATGAAAATTCAATAATAAGTGATTATTTACAAAGAATTATTACATATATTTAAAACATTGTAATGTATAAAAGATATTCCAAATGTTTTCTCAAAAATCCGTTCGTTTTTATTTTTTAAAACAAAAAAGTTAGGTTCAAAAGATAAAAATGGCAAGGAAACCGAAATTTTGAGCACATTTATTAAACTTAAACCCGATTTATCTCAAAGTAGCATATGCAAGTATATTTGTTATTTGAATTTACTAGGTGAAAATAGCTTGTACGCAAATTTTGGTAAAAAATCACCGTGGGATCAAAACTGTAGCATATTCCCTTAACGCATTTCATGTAAGATTTCAATATATGTTTGTATCCGATTTTGTATTTAGGAATAAAAAGTACAAATATATTGAATATTGGGGAAACAGTTGTTCATAATTATTTTGAACCTGAATAACTGAATTATATTTTTGTTTAGTTCTCGTTTAGTACGTGTTTGGAATTTGTGTTAGATTCATTGTTGAGCCTATCTTGTAATAGTTTAGAATCTTAACAAACCTTCATTGTATTGTATACTATTAAATCAAATTAATATTATAATTACAGTAAGGCTACAATAGAATGTAAAACACCTTGTCCGTGTACTCCATGTGGATGTCCCATGCCGACAAATAACGATTTGGTTTGTGGTAAAGATAATAATGTCTACCCTACTGTATGTTTTGCCAAATGCAGGTGAGTTACTAAGGTCGGAGAAAAAAATAACTTCTTACAATGTCAGGTAAGACAAAATCCTTAAAAAAAAACACGGCGATATGCTTGGTGACGAGCATGTTTATAATTACAATTAAGCTGAAAACAAATGTTCAGGACATATGTACCGTTAAATATACAAGCAATTATAAAAATAGGAAGATATCATATGATTGCCAATGACACAACTAACTCTCCACCAGAGATCAGATGACAACATGTTGACTTTTAGATATTTGGTCACTACGTCATGGACACACAGAGGTTCCAAGCACAATAATTACGTGTGAACAAAGAGAAGAATATCGTTATCTTTTATAAGAAAGGGACAAAATCAAACAGATGTGATGCATTGCAGATCACCACTATCAGTATGGTACGTGTTTCTTACATCTCATATTTTATGACTTTTTGTGCTAATAATATGATGTCAGTTTTTTACAATAAAAATCGGAATCCGGCAATGCAGTTTGTTATGTCCTTATTTTAAAATGATGTTTAATAATATAAATGTTCTTCTTCAGAAATAATTTAGTTTTTGATCAACCATTTACACAATATCATTAAGAGTATTTCCACAATATTATGATGTTTCCCTCCAGAAAAGAAAAAAAAGAAAAAAAAACGAAATTTTCATAAGTCTAAAACTTAATGGGACTTTTATATTTCTGTAACCGTTATAGCTATAAAACAATCTGTATATATCATTATCTTAACAAAAAGACAAATTAAACACATCCAGGCAGCTGAAAATTTTTTTTAAGTTCTTTCAACGCAATGTCATAAATGTGTTACAGTAAAACAGAGGTAGCATGTAAAGGTCCTTGTCCATGTTCATGTGAGAGTAAATGTCCAAGTGGTGGAAGGCATGTTTGTGGTGTGGTTGGTAGGGTACATAAAACATATCCAAACAAATGTGCTGCTGATTGTGCGTAAGTAAAGTGTATTCGTTTTGTTTCAATACGATATTTAAACTTTATATCCATATATAAAAACACGATTGAAATACATGAGTTTTTTAAATCAATATTTGTATTCTTTTTGCATTTTTTGTCTTGGCAACATTTACTTATCTTACTTTCCCCAGCAAGGTTTCAAACAAGAACACATGGATTCATCTTATGGAGTCAAACTATAAAGTTCAAAATTTCATTAGTCGGTTGGATCCAGATATTGGTATGATGTGTGGTTGTAGAGTGAGTTTATGTTCAGTTGTTATGAAAAAGGCTTGCATATGTACAACCTTCTGAGATACTTAAACAGTACTACGGATTCACTAGATTCTGAACTGTTCATTTTCTGTCTGAATTTGTATAAATATCGTCGTAACATTCGTAAGAGTATTTCTCAGTTTTATCATCACTGCATGTCTTAATTTTCTTACATTTTTCTGAATTTTGTAAATTTTGTGTACTAGTCTTATTATATATATATAATAACACTGTCTGATATTGTCTCTATCCATTCTTAACACGGTCTGAAATTGTCTCCGTGCATTCTTAACACTGTCTGAATTTTTCTCAACACATGCTCAACAGTGTAAGCGCACCCTGATAGTGTCGAGGACATTTAAACATTTTAGATATCATTTTTTTTTTTTTATTTAGGATGTTCGCTACTCTGTTTCAAAATAATAAGCTTTTCAAAAGACTGTTATAAATTGATAGTATATAAATAAAGGAAGTAAAAAAGCTGATGTAAATGAAGGGTCCGTGTGCTTGTTTTCGAGATATAAGCCATTGAAAATTTGGCGGGAAATGATTCTCTCTAGATTTTTCATACATTTAACATTGGCACCTTTTTTCTGTATAAACGTATGAAAAAATAACAAGGATTTAATAAGATTTTCAAAGATGGCATTTTAAACTATATTTAATCAAATTATGAAAAGAAAAGTAGGGGTTAGTGGGCAAAAAGTTTTAATGGCACTTCATGGATAAAACCAGAGGATTCCGAATATTTGGCAAAAATTCAAAAACAAGAGGAGCGAACATCCTTAAACCTGCACATGTACAGTATAAGCTTTTTTTTAATAAATTGTTTCATGATAACATTACTCTGTTCAGACAAATTCAGAATGTCCTGTCGCTATACGTTTGAAAAGTAGGAGTTTTAAAAAATCTCAAAGTAATACAACAAATGTATTAAAATTTTATTAAACAAGTTTTGGCGATAGCAAGGAATTAGTATAAGGGTACTTAAAACACAGTATGGAGACTTATCAATTTTAGTTCCATTAGCATTTCAGTGTTTTTAGACTGATACTTTATTTTATACAAGATACATATAACTAGTGTGGTGCTAAAGCAAAATAATATGATGATTTTGTTATCACGGTTTACTTTGGCCTATAGCTGTTGCAAATTATATTTAAGAAATCTTGAATTGATATATGGAATAAATTACCGTACGGCCTTCAACAATGAGTAAAACCCATACGGCAAAGTCAGCTATAAAAGGCTCCGAAATGACAAATGTAAAACAACTCAAACGAGAAAACGGCCTGATTTATGAGCAAAACAATGAACGAAAAAACAGATATGATATACAGCAACAAACGACAACCACAGAATTACAGGCTCCTTACTTGGGACAGGCACATACAGAATGTGACGGAGTTAATAGATCTATTTGAATCTCATAATTAGTTACTCTTTTAACAAGCTACGTTCAAAACTCGTCCATTATTCTGCAAATGTTTCAAGCTTATTATATATCTCAGCAATATTTATTTATCACGGTTTTCCAGACTATCCCTTAGCATGATCAATATCTTATTTCAATTCATACACATATTTAAGTAGTTCATAATTTTTGACACGTGATTAAGGAAATTAATTAATGTATTTTGATCTCACAGTAAAGCCACAGTAAAATGCCAATCAAAGTGTCCATGTACAAATGGTAAAACGATAGCAGAATGCGAAAATTCATGTCCACATTTCCGGTTTCCTGTTTGTGGACTTCTTTCTAACACCAAATATCTGAACCATTGCGTGGCTAAGTGCATGTAAGTATATGGCTGATATTGATTGATAAAATTAACTGATTGATAAAGTTAACCAATCAATGACTGATTGATTATGCTTTTTTTTTTATCTATATACAATACTTGCACGCATTGTTGATAATGATGTTGGTATTCTGTACTTCATACTTCTATAGTTTTTCACTTATAGTAATAAGATATGGATGGATGGTTAGGTTTGTTAACGCCATGTGGCAAATATTACAGGTCGTTCTGTATATGATGTTACTTTAAAATGCCGCATGCTTAGATGTGAAGCGGTAAATGCCAAATATCAAGTCTTTGGTTTCACTCGACAGTGAATCTCACCAACGGTCCACCGCAATTGCGAAGCAGTGATATTCTTTTCTCTAATAAAATATGCCAATACAGACACACTTATAAAATATTGAACAAAAATGCTTGAATACAAGTGATGAATATTGGTAATAAACTAATTTTAAGTAAAACTCAAAACGAAGCCGGAATGAGTGTGTCTCCTGCTATCAAAATACGCGTCTGGTGCAGAACAATTGGTTCTGTATATATATATATATATATATATATATGTCATCAATTCAAACACGCTTAAATGTCAACAATAGAGATAATTTGTACATCACGTTTATACAGAGTTATCTGTATTACCTGCCTAAAGTGTTATTTTCATAGACTAGTTCATAAATGATACAAAGCATTATAGCAACGTACGATTCGTCAATACAATAATGTTAATTTGATCCTTCGAAGGATTATGAAGATAATGTTCTTAAAAAAATATCCCGGCTAACTATGTGTTACAAAAATCTCTGGTAACAGTCATAGTTTAACATGCTTTTCAATTTTAACTTAAGATCTTTTAGATGACTTTTTTATTATTTCCAGGGGAGAGGACTTTGTGCATTGTAAGTATTGATGAATGAAATATTCTAGTAAAAAAATGTAATGATACACACGTTTGAACAAGAGTTTTCATAAAATAGGGAAAAAATAGGAAAAAAGTAATGAAATATGCTATGGAAAACATTTATTTGCAGAGCAAGGACATTTGATTCAGAAAATCGGACCGGACCAAAAAATGAGAAGATACCGTATTATTTAACCCAGGGGTCAAACTTTTTTTGGCCGAAAATATGACAAAAATCGGCAACCAATTTCTATGATAATTCATGATATAAACATCTTCGAGGTATTTTACATTTTATTCAGACCGTATTTGTGCTCATATTTCAAATTAAAACTTGGTCTATTTTCATTTTGGGTAAAACAAAATGATTCTTGAAATCAATGAAATTGTGAATAAAATATTTCGCGTTTTTTCATTAAATCAAAGTTTTTAATGAGAAATCTATACTCTTTAAACATAAGACTAATTTTATGTATATTTTAAACAGTCAAGGCTTCATATAAATTATTCAATTTGATGAATTATTAAGCAAAATGTTCTTGACTATATATATACCTAGTTTGTTCTGATAAATTCAAAGACTAAAATGTAGTTTTGACTTGCTAAGAGTACTCAGAAACTTCAAGACAGTTGTGTACGAGGTATCCCATTTGTTTCTTACAAAATGCACTTCTTAAGTTTGAAACAAATTCTTTTTTGTAGTTGTATGAGTTTAAAAAAAAACTATGGAATCAGGAAATCGTATTTGACCCTGTATATACTGTCACACACAAGGCCAATACTCTAGAATGAGCTAATACATAACTGAAACCCCAAAATATACTCAAACAATAACGCACTTCAACATACTTAAATGAAAAAGGACTTTACCAAAACCAAACAAAAAGTATCGAGATTGCACGTAATTCGACTTTTAAGAAATCTTGCTGAATACATTCATTGCCAATTTTGAGACAAATAAATTTACTGAAAAAAAAGCAATAATAAGAATTGATCTAACAAAATACACAACCTTTATAAGAAATGTACCTTCAAAATAATATTTAGAAAAGATTTTAAGGTGGAACATAACACTACAGGGAGATAACTCTGTTAAAATCAGCTTCAATGATCAAAATTAGTGTTTATCAAACTGCTATATATCCAGTGATTTTTTTTCCGATAAAGTGTGTGGTTCAAGTCTTTTTGGAATTTTGAAATTTTTGTCAAAGTAGATATTTTTTCAAAATTTTATGATAAATTAAACGAGCAAAATTAATTTTAGTTAAGGTGATTGCAATCACCTTAAATATTCAACATTTTATACCTTAGGGAGCTACCATTTGATTTTTATGGGGAGGGGGGGGGGGTGCTAGGATGAATATTTTTCACTCAATTCGGTCCTGCCTTTTTTTTTATTATTTTATCCTGACTTTTTTTACATAAATTGTCATCCTGCCTTTTTTTTTTGCCAAGTTGTTCACCCTGCCTTTTTTTTTACTCAAAAGTCCTGTCCTGCCTTTTTTCAAATTTCATCCTAGCCCCCTCCCCCTCCCCCCTAAAAATCAAATGGTAGCTCCCTTATGATGTTATCATAAGTATTTTGTTTTAAATGTGACTGCATGATCATGTACGAAGAGGCAGTGTCGTTTTCAAGGAAAAGTGAAAAAAAATTGTATTTTAATTGTAATAGGATTATTCTATTAAAGCATGAATTGTTTTATATATTTTTTTCTGTTATAGGTAAAGGTTCTAAATTTTACGAGGATTAATAAAACAGGACCTGAGCGTTTGTTAATAAATTTGTATATACAAAATATTTATTTATTTTGAAATAAATGGCTGGATGTCATGTTACGTTTGATTGGGAAGGCTGTTTTTTTTATTTGCATCATTGCTTGTTTTGTAACCACAAGAAGCTATAAGAGACCTTCCTCCTCAAAGATGAAAAAAACTGAACCCCCCGGTTATCTTCTTCATCGTCCATAAACAAATATAGTCCTGCTTGTCATGTTACTACTGTAGACATTGGCATGGATTAACAATGAACAACCCGGAGAGTTTTTAGCTAAAGGCCTGAAATATTGAATTCCCAAGCTGATGAACTGGAATGAAAACGTAAGGTTTCTGATGAATTAAGTGGAAGACTATGCCAGAATATGGATAAATCGCGATTCAGACGAAACCGGACACCATATCTGAATTGAATCGGTTATTAATTCCTAACCAAAACATACGACGTACAATTTAAACACGGGTTTTTAACACTTTCTAGAATCCCAAGGTTGTGGATGCCTTATCCTCTCTCCACTACACATAAGTTGTTGTCCCGGCAAACAAAGTCTCTAACAATTTTGTTTTAAATGCAAAAACATTATTTGGAATGTCTAACTAAAAAAATCGAAATTCACACATATACCCATAGAAAAACCATGAAAGAGAAGCTATTAGATAAAGGCAACAGTAGTATACCGCTGTTCGAAATTCATAAATCGATTGAGAAAAAACAAATCAGGGTTATAAACTAAAACTGAGGGAAACACATCAAATATAAGAGAACTACGACACAACAGAAACACAACATTAAAACGTAACACACACAGAAACGAACTATAATATAACAATGGCCATTTTCCTGACTTGGTACAGGACATTTTAAGAAAAAAATGGTGGGTTGAACCTGGTTTTGTGGCTAGCCAAACCTCCCGCTTTTATGGCAATGTTAAATATAACATTAAAATGACAACATTACATGACAGGACTACAATACAAATAAATGGGAGAACATATAGGACAGAGAAACATACGAATAATAGCTAACAAAAGGTACCAGGTTTTAAATTTAATACGCAAGACGCGCATTTCGTCCACACAAGACTAACCAGTGACGCTCAGATCAAAAAGTTACAAAAGCCAAAACAAGTACAAAGTTGAAGAGCATTGAGGACCAAAAGTTCCAAAAAGTTGTGCCAAATATGGCTAAGGTTATATGTCTGGGATAAGAAAATGACAAACCCGTCCGTTTCTTCTTGGGTTTAGGCATTTTAAAAGACTACTAAAAACTTCCATCCTTTGACTGGATACCTAATTATATACAAAAACGATATATAATGTTCAACTTAACATCTTTCTTAAGTTCTGACCATCATTCGTCTATCTTTCGGAGATATATTCTACAAGTGGTGTCAAACATGTGTCCTTTCTTGAAAATTCTACTACAAAACCTCTAATATATTCGTTTCGGTGGTATCGTGGTAGCGATTTTGACTCGAGTGCGAGTTGTAGTTGATTCAAACCTCAGTCGGGTCAAACCAAGGACTTTAAAATTGGTATTTGCTGCTTCTCTGCTTAGAAGGCAACATTAAGGAGTGGTGGATAAGACTTGTCGGCTCGGTGTCAGAATAATGTGTCTTGATAGGGTGACATGTCTACCGGTGGACTGTTACCTTGCGAACTAGCACTTTTAAGCTCCGACTCAGGGTGTCGGTCTTCACAACGCAAGATTAATATTCACATTAACAATAATTTCTTGTCCTCAATATAGATTTATTTTGGCGCTGAAGGTTAAACAGCTATCCATCATCATCTAATCACATTCTTTACAGTTTTGTAATAGGTTTTATGTTTAATTGCTTTATACTACTATTTCCTATACTCAATTGAAAGATCGAATACATCGTTCCATTAAACAGAAATTAAACATTAAATACATAATTCTTGATTTAATTCATGAATATTGTTTCTTTGTGAAAAAAGGCACTGATTCCAAAAATAAAAACACCGAGGATAATATAATAAAAAATCAGGATTTGTTTTTTCGACAACATATTCGTTGAGTTGGTAAATTGATATTCCAAGAGACAGTCGGTATTCCAATGAGTAATTATTGTTCACCCCAATTTACCAACCTTTTTGTACTTATATGAAGCAGAGTTCATACGAAACAGTCTCAAAAAGAAAAAGATAAACAACATCTTGCACAAACATATTCATGAAACACTTTTACTCAATAAGTACATTTCAGTGAATGTTTGCATCTTATATATCTATAGATCCAAGTAAACTTAGGAATTAAGGATATTACCGATACAAGAATTTCTTTTTCATATCTTGATCTTTTCCACGAAATAGACACAGTAGACGCCTTCAAACAACAATCTATAACAAACGCAATGATTTCAACTTTCTAAAAGTCAACTTTTTATTTCTCGGCAGTAAAAATTGTATTAACAAAAATACAAAACTCTAAGTTAATTTCAAAAACTCCATAAAATATAACAAATATTCGGCTAAATCAACAAACTGGAAAACAACTGTCATACTCCTGAACTGGAACAGGCATTTTCCGAAGAAGTTAAACCTGGTTTCTTAGTTAGCTAACCCTTCAACTTGTGTGACAGTTTTAAAAAAATCCGTTATATTGACAAAATGGTGCAAGCAATGCAAACAGACATAATTGGTAAGTGTGACCAGTTGGGACCCAGCTGCCAAAATTCAGACTCTTCTCGATCGTATAGCGTTTGTATATCTCAATTTATACTCTACATTTGTGCATTTACACTATACATACTTTATTAGTATGGATAAAAAGTAAACTAACAAAATGATCGAACTCCAAGGTAAAATTCAAATCGGAAAGCCCCTTATTAAATGGCAAAATCAAAAGCTCAAACACATCAAACGAATGGAAAACAACTGTCATATTCCTGTTTTGGTACAGGCATTTCCTTATGTAGAAAATGGTTGATGAAACCTGGTTTTATAGCTAGCTAAACCTCTCACTTGTATGACAGTCGCATAAAATTCCGATTGGCTTCTTATACAAATAAAATTGAGAATGGAAATGGGGAATGTGTCAAAGAGACAACAACTCGACCAACAGCAGAAAACAGCCGAAGGCAACCAATGGGTCTTCAATACAGCGAGAAAATCCCGCACCCGGAGGAGTGCTTGTGCTGGCCCCTAAACAAAAATATGTACTAGTTCAGTAATAATGGACGTCATACTAAACTCCGAAATATATAAAAGAAACTAAAATTAAAAATCATACAAGACTAACAAAGGCCAGAGGCCCATGACTTGAGACAGGCGCAAAAAAAATGCGGCGGGGTTAAACACGTTAAACAAAAACTACGACAACAAAAGTTTGAGGAAGAACGACTGGAATCGACATAATTTCACGGTTATCATCAAACATTGATTAAACGAAACCGTATGTCTGTGACTCAACTCACTAGCGACATGATTTCGAAGTCTTGGATTTTAAGATACCAGAACAGTCGTCTAATCTGTGATTGCACCGATTGTGACATTCCGGATTGTGACAATTTGACTGTGATGAGTGGATTTACATTTTTGGTGAGTTTGTATTGCAAATGTGTGTCACTTATGAGTAATCTTTACTTAAGAAATAGGAAGCATCTGATATATTCACAAGATTTTCTTGCAACTTTTAGTGTTAGCGAGATGATATAAAAATATCTGGGTAAAAGTGGCCAAAAAATGTAAAGTCATATTATAGCAGGTAATAAAACAAGATATAAAAAACGAATTTATTGTACTTTTTGTGCTTACAGCAGTTTTGTCCCGTAGCTAAATATAAATCCTCTTATTAGAACTATGTGTCCATTCAATCGTCCAAACATGAAATCGCCATGACTCTAGAAATAGCAGAAACCACTGCAGATATGTAATAGATAGCAAATTGTCTGAGTGACAAAACAGTTAGATATATCAAGACAATCATTGACGAGATTCCTTAAATTGGACAGGCATACATCGTGTACATATATTTTAGGCAAAATGTGTTTAAAAAAACTTTATTTTGCTGTCGCTTCACAAACTTTCAGATAATTACTATATAATATGTGGATGTCTGTCCTAAAAAACAGTATACAGATTGAAATTAGCATACTTCCTTATGTTTATTTAGATGGAGTTACTGAGGATATATACCTGTTCCGAAGTTCCGTGAACCAGTACTTTCTTATTTGCAATTTAAAGTATGTTGGTTTTATCAGTACAAGGCACCATAAAGTGTTGCTTTGACATGCAGAATGATAGTTTCTTTATTTGAACTTAGTAAAGGAGGGACGAAAGATTCTAGAGGGACAGTCAAACTCATAGATCGAAAACAAACTAACAACGCCATGACCAAAAATAAAAAGACAAACAGACAAATAATAGTACAGATGACACAACATAGAAAACCAAAGACTAAGCAACACGAACACCACCAAAAACTGGGGGTGATCTCAGGTGCTCCGGAAGGGTAAGCAGATCCTGCTCCACATGTGGCACCCTTCGTGTTGCTTATGTTATTACAAATCCGGTAAATAGTCTAATTTGGTAAGTCACATTCGTTAAAAGGGAGTAAAATACAGCTGACTGTTTACAAATGATTATTGATTCGTATATGAAGTAAGGGAGATAATCAGCAATTTCTGACTGAATCAATTGATAGCCTATATTAGATTCCAACATATGAGTTTTTTTATGTTTTTCTCAAAAAATGAAAAATATTCACTACGTTTGGTTATCAAAAGTCGCTTCCTTTGTTGGATGTTAACTTACATTTTACTGATTCACAAAATAAATGGTATCTATATACATCTGTTTCAAATAGGGGAGATGAATTGCTACTTCCGGATCAATATAGTCACTTTGCTGTCCTATGATAGCTTACATTAAACTAAAAGTGTATGGTTTCTATTTATATTTGCTTGACATAAGGGAGATAATTTGATACTTTCGGCTTACATAATGTTACTTAATTTCAGTATCGAATGAAGGCGACTTTTGCTGATATAAAACAATTATGGTTTTTACATATTTTTGCAAGTAATAAGTGA